TCCGGATCAATAGCTTTGACACACTGGAAGGCTTGTTCAGCAGAATTGAATTTTTCCCAAAGACAGAGAGTTGACATGCACGGATATAAATTTGACAACACGTTCTCTTCACCATGAAAAGACAATGAAAATGTATTCGGACATTTTTTTGAGTAGTTCGGACACTGCTCATCTCCCGGGGAATGTCCCGGCTGAAGACATACTTTGCACTTGGATTCCTCCGTGCATTCATTAGTTGGGTGATGCTAACTCCAGCAAATGCGACACATTCTTTGCAGTAGCTCGTGCGGGGTAGGAATTTGTTATCGGCGAGAGGCTCTATGTAGATATATCTGTTGCCATTCAACACACCAGTCATTTTTTTGGTCACGGGATTTCTTATTTTTTCATATTGTAGATCGCTTTTTAGGTTTGCACCTAATATGGTAAGCATTGCCAGAATTTCATTGTCATCTACAGAGAGAGGCACGCCAGACACAGTAACTTTGAGAACTCTATCTGCAGGGGATTTTGAGCCTGTTGTGTAAGGATTATGGTCATAGACATTGAAGTTTTGATTATTGATGTCAACCCCTTGCGCCAGCAATGTTTGTTGCTTTGATCATTGATCAAAAATATCGCCAGAGGTCACGGTCGAGCTGTATGCATCGTACCATATCCCCGACGGACCGAATCACACTTTGCATAAGCTCAAAATCAGATATTCTTTTGTTTCTGTTCATTTGAATTTCACTGTTTTTTAGATAAACAGGTTAAGATAATGCTTCCATCTAGAGACTTCTAGAGTTTTATTTTTCTCTCATTTTTAGGACATATGATTGACAGTTTATAATCGACAGGTAAATAACAAGTAAACACAGGTGAACACGTACTCACCGATCAGCCGAACTGTTTACAAAGAAAGATCCCGGAACCATCACAATTTTGCAAGTCGATTTCTGCACAAAAAGGTCCCTAGATGACAACTAGGTGATAGCGAAATTGTTGAGTGATTTTTTGGAACAAAAAGCCTTTGAAAACAGCAAAAAAATTGTCAAAAAGACGGAGCGAGGGAGGTCACTTCTTTCCTTCACCCTGTCACGTGACTATCTCCATACTTTGAAAAAGTACTCCGCACTTTGAAAAATAGTTGAATATTCGAACAATGATATAAGTATTAAATACCTAAGATATCGTTTACTTTAGATTTTAAACATATTAGATATGATAAAAAGGATGCACCCATTCTCTATCCACCTTGAATAAAGGTCTCTCATGAGGCAGAAGATCTGTGGTTTAATGGTCGCCATGCTTATATTTGGAAAGGATGTTATTATCCACCCATTCTGTTGCCGAGATATGACCATTTCTGACAAACTGTTCTTGTCATAAAAATTAATTCACATGGAAAGAAATATAAAACTCGGAAAATTTTTTTAACTTTTTTGACAGAACGCTACGGAGGGGGTCACGTGACCGCCAATATCACGTGATTCGCGCATGCGCAGAACGGTGGTTGATGTGCATTAAAATCGGGGAGGATTAATTTAAAATATAATCAACATTAAAACCAAATATTTTTTCTTGTATGGAAGTTATTCAATTAGTTTGCGAACTTTTTGATCACCCCTCGTTTATTTACATGTACAATCGAAAATCCTTTTACAAAATTATTTTGCTATTAACAATGACAACGTGTATGTACCTAAATTAACCAAATCCATATTTATTAAAGAACATCTGACAATGATATGTAAAAGTCTATTTATCGTGGGTAATAAAATAGTTTGAAAATTTGATTTTATTTTGTTTTCTGTCTATGGTTTTGAGAGAATTTAACGCCAAAAATACCAAAATCACAGAAAAGAAATTTATTTCTTATTGTGAAAGGAAACGTCAGGCCTATGTATTGTATCAATTATGAATTTTTCTTTTAAAGCTCACCTGGGCCAAAGACTCAAGTAAGCATTTCTGATTAAACCATATCAGGTGTCCGTCGGTCGTGTTCGTCTTTTACCTTTTCACATTTTTGATTTCATCTTAAGAACAGCTAATCCATTTTCAACTAAACTTCTCACGAAGAATACTAAGGTGATAGGATCTTAAGTTTGGTCACAAGTGTCCCACCTCTTTCAATGGAATTAACATTCTTAAATCAGCTTAATATGCTTTCCATTATACCAAATTTGGTAAACTGTATAAAAACAAAAACACTGTTATATTTTAATCGATATTCACTTTATTTTTAAAAAAAGTATTTAGGATTACAATAATAAATGCATGTATATGCCATCTATTTAATTTTAACTTACTAAACTATAATGAAACCGTCGCTGTTTATGCCGAGCGATGCTGTGTTCAAATCCTTGATGAGCCAACATTTTTCATTGGCTCTGGAACTGTATATGACCTGGGTTGCTGTTGCTGACTCGAAGGAAGCACGTGGTCCGTTGCTAATGGAGATTGTACCGGTATCTTCATTTTTTAGAAATGATGAATTGTGGTGTACTAAGCTCAGCTGAAACAACAAATTGGGGATTTGTACAGTACTAAAATACATACTTAGCAATCCCTTTTAAGTCCACTTTGTGGGTATATCAACAAAATAGGTGACGACCACTTCAGCGTTACCGTAGACTGTGACGTCTACACCTCTTCCTTGTTTGTATGTTTTACTACCGTTTTTCTTTATAGTAACTACCGTCCTAGGCATTGCCCAATTCATCTTCCGGTGAAACTTGACTGCATCCACTGAATTTTGACCCATTGTTGCGGTAAATATGTACGCTATTCAAAAAAAAAAGTTCGAACCTTTTAAAAGATATACAATTAAAAGCTAGTATTTCTTTGAAAGAATTCGCTGATAATCAGAAATTTTAAAAGAAATATTGATTACATGTGCTGCGTCGTTTATCCGTTTCTACGCTAAAAAAGTTATGTTTGGAATCTGAAGACAGCGGATGAGTTAAACATAATTATGGAGTTCGTCCCTCTGGATGGCCTCATTACAAATGCAGGGGTGGGAGGGGTAGCTACAGAAAGAAATCATTTTAGAACATATTGAATACTTTTGTAAGATTTTTAATAAGTGTAAAATCATATTTTATCGAGGGGTCAAATACATTGGTTCATAGAGATTTGATTTTGTGGTTGAGGATTTGTTCAGTAGTAATATATGTGCAAAATTGCATTTCGTGGTGCATATAAATTCGTGGATCTCTTCATACATTGAAAACAATGAAAATTACACCCCTACGAAAATTAGTGATTCTACAGTATACATCTATCGTTTTATGCAGATTATTTTTATATGAACAATGGCATGAGGCTTATTCAACGATATTGTCTTGCAATACTACATTTTAATGACTGACATTCAAGAAGAAATATATATTATTATCTAAAAAAAAGGAAATACTTCCCAAATCTTAATTACAAACTTAGAAAACTTGGAAAAATTCCAAAGCTTAAAATACTGGGTATTCACTAAATTTCGTTGTTACTGCAAGGTTGTAATGAAAGAAAACGTAAAATACATTGCAGGGAACTAATTTTGTGACAGCATCAATGGTGATTTGAATGCTTCCTTTGCTTGCTAATTTGAATGCTTTCTTAATTTGCTTGTTAATCTGGATGCTTCGTTTGCTTGCTGATTTAATGCTACTTTTTCTTATGATGTTTTATAGTTAGGACAATGCAACGGGAAGTAGATAATTGAATTTAGGCATTGACATCTAGAGCAATTAAAGTGTCTTATATTCATTTTATCAAAATATTTTATGATGTATAAATTATTCAAATAATATTTTCTTTGCTTTCATTTTTTAACTGATAAAACCTCATTTATTCTCTGATGCTAGTAGGATAATGCTCATCTTAAGTAGGTTAATTCTAGTTCTATTCTATGCTTGCTGAATCTGGTAATGCTTCTTTTTTAAATGCTCATCCTGATGCTAGCTAGATGCTGATGCTTATTTTGTTTATGCTGATGCTGATTTATGTATCAAATAAGTTCCCTACACAATATTAATCATATTGTAGTTCAACTTATAAAAGTTTCATTTTATTTTGATTCCAGAAAGAAAATAATCAAACCATCACACGGGATACTTTAAAATATTGATATATAAATAGAAATGATGAAATTACCAGTTAGAGCGTCCCCTGGTTGAACAGGTTTAACTGGTAACGGCAGTTCAGTGGAAACGTCTACAACAACCAATTCTTTGGATGAACCAAATAATTTCCCAACAATATTTGCACTAAATAAGAACATATATATCACAGGAAACTTTAAAATTGACATAGCTATTAGTTGAAATAAAATATATCGGTAATAGTGCCCCCTGCTTAAACAGGTGTGGACGGTTTAGTTGGGCCTTCTACAACGACCAATTATTTGTATTTTATGTGTATATATATCTCGATAAATCTAACTATTATTTAGCAGTCATTGGTGTTAAGAATTTTTATAATTCTAATTTTTTCACCTAGGGCTTCCAGCCTCAAAATCTCTGTTCTAATAAGAGAACAGGCCTCTGTATGCGTAGAATATCTACTAATTTTTTTTAATAAGTAAATGATAAATAAATAAATAACCACCGTGTTACTCAGTCAGCCTGAAGCAATCATTTTTTGGTGGCCGAGCAAACATGGAGTTAAATGTCAATATAATATAAAGAGCAAATAAAGATGAGGTGAGGAAATTTGCAAATAGCAACAAAGCAAAGGGTATTTTTTTTTCAATAATCTTGAACATAAATTATAGATTTAATATAAATTAAAATGAGAAGGGGATTTGGGGGTTAAATACGCATTTGGAAGGTGTGTATGTGTATTAAAATTTAGATTAAGATAATTTAGTTTTTCTATATTGTTTTTATTTAGCTTGAAATATCGTAAAAAAATTAATGTTTACTCCGATTAGAAAATTTTGATTTTAGATACTGTTTCAAAATTAGCAATAATACTGTGCAAAGTTATAAGCATACAGGAATACTAACCTTGGCATTAAACATAATAAATGGCAAAAAGATAAGTACATGTACATACCTTGTTTGAATATCAAAAGATTATTTGAATTTGTGTGTGCAGATATATGAACAAAAATCAAAATTTTAATTTAAAAAATTGCCCAGATAGGAGTTAAGCAAAATTGAATTTAGAAATGTTGGTTCGTGTTATAGCATAATTATAATTTTAAAAGATGCCAAAAGGCCAAAAGATGTCGGCTAAAATGCCAGTAATTTAGTAAGGGAACTCTCATCAAGCGTTATTCCCAAACTCCAAGCAGGTTTGTTTCGGTAATGAATTGGCCATTCATTCTAGCACGACAAACCTGTCCTCGCCATTTTCCGGTAGATATGTTTATTTTCTAGAGTTATAAAAACTGTATGTATATAATATAAGTAAACTATCGTATCTAGCACTAAATTAATTACGCTTGGCTAAAGTACTTACCTTTAGACTTGTATCTTTTGAAAGACATTTTGTGAAATACATCATGGCGACTTGACAGGGCTCTCCGTAGACATGACGTCAATTTTAAAGTATGACGTAACAGTACTCGAAAGCAATACAATATTTAAAATTCTGACGAGATACTTATATATAATTTACGGAACATCGAACTAAAATATGATTCATTAACCATGAATTAAAGAAATTAATTTATTGTATGCATTTGTTTTCTAAAACTTAAAAATGTTAGGTGAACACTTAGGAGTTTGGTTCAGTGTATTCTTTTCCCAGACTAACTTAAATCGGAAACAGGAGGATCGAGATATTTTATGATAGCTATTTTTTATAAGATTTTCTGAAGTTTTGTCTTTTATGTACTTGGATATAACCCCCGGTGACATAAATTCCATAATTTGGTAAAGAGATCGTACAGTTAGTAGTATTACAAATTGTATCTCAGTCTCTCATTTCCTTTTCCGTATTCAATTGATTGAAACTGTATGCGAATATAAAATTCAACGTTCTGATATTTTATTCATTACAAAAATCTGAATTAGAAGCATTATACAAAAAATAAATTCATTTTCAATTAAAAAAATATATTTACAATAAAGTAAACAGCCTTTCTAATTTTTAAACAAAATAACTGTACATGTATCAATATACACTAAACGCATTTATGGTTCATGTTGGAATGCTATAGGTTGGAAAAATTAATTTAAAGAATGTGAGACAAACACATAGCATATCTGCAATTCCAAGAGTTAGTGATCATTTAATCAAACAGTAATTATGCTGATCCCTTGCAAATTTGATTTGTTATCTGAGGATTTTTTAAGATTATTTAAAAATATTTCAGATGGCCCACATCATTAAAAATTATGAACAACAACATCAACGACAACAGAAATATTTGTACAGACAACTTGAAATGGACAAAAATATAAATGTATGGCATTGCATGAGAATATACTTCATAAAAAAATTATGGTGTGATCTCATAGTTTGTAGGACTAATATTCAGGGAATTTACCATTCTCTTGTTAAGGAACCAGCAGGAATCACCGGATGACGATGTCTTCTGAATGGCTTTAAACTTTAATGTAGGTCTTCCACGTCGTCTGCATTTAACTTTGGCCATTAATTTTCCTTTTCTTGAAAATTGTCTGACTATCTTGCATTTCATATTGACAAAGTGACCTACATAATAAAATAAAAACAAAGTGACCTACATAATAAAATAAAAACAATGCTGCTTTAAAGACTTTCACTTTATACTGCTCACTAGAATTATACTTTATACCATTTAAAAGAATTTAACTTCAAACTGTTTTAAAGAATATTTCCTACTGCTTACTGTATATAAACAATACAAAAACTTAAAGTTTAATGAAAAGAAACTAGTTGCACAAGTTGCCAATGTAAACCCACAGATACCGTTATCGAAATTTATCAACAATAATGTTAACTCACACAGTAATTATAGAGCTTTTTAAAAAAAGTATATTGAATATTAAAATATCAACATACTGAGAATTCCGTCATACTGTTTCCGTTGGCGGCCGTGCATTTCCGCCTTTAATCTGAGTCCGTGTTGATCCTTTTCGACGTCCAATGTTATTCCATCCATGTCGCATTGCAAATTCGTAAGATTTTTAATTACATCAACATTGATTGTTTCCTGCATTCTTTTTCCTCTGAACTTTTCTACCTTCAAGCTGGCAAACGTTTTAAGGGCCCTGTTTTGTTTGCTGGCAGTATTTGCAAGTATGGTGCAGCCTTTATGAGGAAAATAAATCATATTTTATTTTGCTGGTTGTAGATTAGTAAAATGTGAATTATTCAATACAAAATCTAATACCGCTGTGTACGCCTATAGTAATAATATTTCATTTACCAGTAAAACCAAGATGTATAATTATAAAAGGCATAAATGAATGCATGAAAGGCTTTGATAAAGGCTTAATTTTTCAAATTTACCACTTACCATTATTTTGTTTTGCCATCTTGATTACGTTGTAGGCCCTTGACTTTTTCAACGATAAATCAAAGCAGATGTTCACCTTGGACATTTGAACAATGAAGGATGGCAATGTCTGACCCTTCACTGCTGGGCTTGGCGTACTTACTGTAAAAACCCCGCTCCTTTTAAGAAGTTTGAATCAGAAAACAGACAAAATATATACAAATAAGCAAGATGACTAATTTAAGAACGAAGATAATTAGATAAATGTACATGTCATTTTTTAAACAAATATATTAATTGACTAATTTGTAAAATTAATTTGTTATTATTTCTAAAAATTATAAGCTTAATCTTTAGAAGGTCATTATTTTCACACTAAATTGCGGAAATTTTTTCCTATTTGCCCGATTATGATAAAGAGCAGAAAGACAACATTAGATGCTTACTTCTCCAAATGGTACCTCATCCCACCTTAAACGTTTTTAAGAGGTCAGAGTTTTTTCTGCTTTTAATTTGTTATGTTTAAATTAAATTATTTTGAACTGCTTTACTGTTTGCCAGCTCCATATTTCATTACAGGTTCATATACAGATTACATTTTCAAAAGAAATATTTGACAGTACATGTAGTTGTAAAAATTAAAAATTAAATATTAACAAGATAATGGCAAATGTAGGTTACCAAAAATTTTATATTTCTCTCTAGTATTTTGTTTATTGTTCCAGAAGTTACTTAGTATTGCTTATATTTAATTAAATAAAATAAAATTAAATAAAACTAGATGCTGTCTTGAGACAGTAATACCCGCACTAAGGTGTTTGCCTCTAAATGCACACTCTTTTAAATTGGGCTTTGCCAAGGAAAAAGTCAATATAATTCAATAATTTACATAATAGGGCCTCCATGTATTCTTCAAATTGAGCATAATATTCTCAAGTGACCATGTGACCCATGGGCCTCGATCTTAAAGATATTTCATATTCGTAATTCATTACCAGTCTGAAATTAAACAACAGAATTTAATTAATGATGTAAATTAGGTTTGATAAGGGGGGGGGGATATAAATTTGTGGCCCATAATTGGAACTTTTTAAATCTATTTTCTCATATAGATAACAACAAATAATATTATTCAAATTAGTGTAAAGCATTTTTGATGATTTTTTCAAATGTACAAACTTTTTTTATATTTGATTACGCAGAAACACCTTGAAAGCTGCCATATACCCAATCAATTTAGTCAACCCCCACCCCTCTCCCATCAGCACACACACTCACACACAAACACATCCTATTTTCCTGTTTTTGGAAATAGGCCTAGATGGCAAAGTTAAGATAAAACATCTTTTGTAAATAATCATTTTAAATTTGTTCTTATACTATAAATGTATCTGAAGACCTGCATCACATTGGGCTTGCGTCACGTACCCAACTTAAATACTAGTTTTACTATTATCATTTTTAGATAGCTCACTGCACGTGCAGTATTAGTGTTGTGTACACATCATTGCATGTATGTCAGTTGGAATTATTATTTTGTGTTTTAATTGGATTATATTTCAAGTTGACGGTGCCTATGGCAGTCGGTAAGTACAAGTTTTGGTATAGATTTGGGTAAAATAGTCTGAAATGCAACTGGTTAGGTTAAAGTTTAAAGGATCAAAGGTCATCCGATGCTGCAATAAGACGGATTTCACATTCTGAAGAGTTATTGCCCGTTATCGACGTTACATTCAGTAACAAGATACAGAATTTTTTTCTGGGAGGGAGGGGGATTTCCAGACCAGAATTTCCTGAGAAGCAAATAAAAGGAGAAGTTATGGTGGTGTCTGTTTTCTAGGGTGGAGGGCATCCAAAGTCTTTTTTATTTGCTTCAGTATATATTATAGTCCTGCAAATTCGGGGGGGGGGGGGGGATCTCCCAATCCACTCCCTGTCCCTGTAAACAGTAATGACAAATGATCATGTGACTCCTAAATAGTAGGAAACTTTTTCTATTGACTATAAATAATTTTGCTTTTTGTGTTATTATGTTATGTAAATTTAATGGTATAAAGGTTTTGAACCCCCTGGAGGTCATCCCCACTCTCCTAATGATTCTAACTGGAAATGTTCACAATATGACTGCATTAAATTAAATAAAAGTGCATCAATGATAAGATTGCTTGACATTTTATTCATCAACCTATCCTCCTAGAATTAGGAATGAAAATCATTCAAAGAGATGGACCACATTAAAGTATTTGTATATAGGCTATTAACATTTTTTTTAAATGTAAAAACAAGTAGTAGTTTGCATACATGTCATGAATACACAGGGGTCTGGGAAGGGGTGAGGGGAAGGATCGAGTTCATGTCTCTTTACGTCTTAATGGTTGAAAACTCCTAAAATGAATGTTGACCTCAAATCTGACTTGTCCTCATTATTTTTCAAGTGGTGGTGTCTCCATTTCAGTGAAAAATTCCTGAGAGGGTGTTTAACAACAAACAAACAATTAAATGACATAAAAACACAATATTGATTTGCGTTAAGAAATATGTAGGGGATTTTTTCCATCATAAATCTTCTTCTCAAGAACAGCAAGGGCATTATTGTCCCCCGTTTTTGGGGAAAGGGAGGGAACATTAAATCTTATTTGTCTGTCAGTCTGGCCATCTTTGACAGTATGTGCATCTGTCACAATAAATTTAACCTTAATCATAACTTTTGAATAATAAGTGATAGGGCTTTCATATTTCACATGTACATTACCACAAAACTTTCTAAATGTACTATGATTTTTTAACCCAAGTTAGACCTTGACCTTAAAGTTTTACCTACTTTCCAAAAAATAACATTTTAAATTAATCATTTTGAAAGAGAAAAGATATGGCATTTAAATTATACATGTATATTACACGTGAAAAGACTGTTCTAAATATATCATGACTTTTGACTCTGTGTGCTTGACCTAGAAGTTTAACCTACTTTTCAAAAATATTATATTATATATTTATATATATATAACTTTTGATTGAAAAGACATGCGACTTTCATATTTGACATGTACTTTACCTGCAATAAAATATTTCGAGCATGTGATGATTTTCTCCCTTTGACCTAATTTTCATAAAGTGACATATGATAGGGGTGCATATTTGACACACAATCTGCCATAAACTATGGCATCCCATTCACTTAAACACAGAAAGCAGATGACCACAATTCTTTGAATTTGCTTGTATAATCTTGATATGGAAACATCTTCATATAATGTAGATTCAAGTTTTTTATGCTACGCCATGATTAGGAATACATGTATAGTTTTTGTCATGTCCATCCTCCACCCTTCCATCTGTCTTTCCATCGAGCTCAAAGAAACTTTCTAGATATTTTTATCAAAGTTCATATGTTGATGCATATACTGATGTGAAGTATCCAACTGCAGCAATATTTTTTGACCTTGACTTTCCTTTGACCTTCACTTAACTTTTCTTATAATTAGTGTTTAGCTTTATTTTAAAGAAACCATAATGATTCAAATTGTGTAATGAAACTTCACATGATGATACGTACTGATGTAAACTTTACAATGCTTCACTCTTTTTTTACCTTGACATTTCCTGTGACCTTGACCTCACTTTTCTAAAATTAATGTCTTAGACTAGATCAGTTTTGAATAAACAATTCAAGATATATTTATCAAACTTCATATGCTAATACATACTGATGAGAGCTATTATTGCATTAACTTATTTTGACCTTGAATTTTCTTTTGACCTTGACCTCACTTTTTAAAATATGTGTTTATCTAAGTTTTAAATAAACCATTAATTATATTTTTATCAAACTTCATATGCTAATAGTAAATTCACACTGATGTAAGCTTTTCAACTAGAACAACATTTTGACCCCAACCTTTCCTTTGACCTCTCTTTTCTTAAAAAGAAGTGTTAAGCTCAGTTTCATTAAATCATTCAAGATATTTTTATCAAACATGATATGCTGATATGTATTAGTGAGAGCTATTCAGCTGCATCAAAAATTTCATCTTGCACATTCCTGTGACCTTGACCTCCCTCCTCTTTAATTTGTATTTTGCTTAGTTTTAAAGAAATAATTTAAGACATTTTTATGTTTAGCATGTACTTATACATAATTTGATGAGAATTTATTATCTATATCCAATTTATTTATATCTTAGTTTCAATTCTGAAAAAAAAACTGTTTAAGATATTTTCATCAAACTTTACACACTAATACAAATTTTCATATACCATTAGTAATACACATCTGGTGGGACATTCATGTCCTATAGACATATTTCTAGTTTTTCAAGTCATCACCTCAGACCACAATTAGGGATCAAAGTTTTATTTAGGAATAAAAGGAAACACATCTTCAAAATTCTTCTTTTCAAGAACACCAAGAGCATGATTAATATGGAAATATTCTCAGGAGGTGTAGATTCAAGTTTGTACAAATCATGACCCCCAGGGTTAGGCAGGGGCCATATTTTTCCTGCCCCTTTTTGCCATCCACATGAAAATTCAAATTTTGAAACCATTTTACACATACGCAAAACAAACCAATCATTTTCTAAATGATCATGGTTTAAAGCTATTGCAGCATAAAATATTAGGGAAGTTCTTGAAAGCAGGGTGATTAAACATATCAAATATATGTAAAAAAAAAAAAAAAAAATCTACCCCAATTTGACACCTCCCCCTCCCCTCCCCGGGCAAAATGAAAATTCCGAAACCTTACTGCACAGCTACATGACACCACCAACCATCTCCCAAAAGATGATTAGGCTGCTGAGTAAAATGTAGAAGGAGTTCAGGGAAGACGGGGCTTTTTGCATAAAAAACGTCATTTTTCGACCCCCATTTGATCCCCTGGGGCAAATTTAAAATTCCGAAACCTTACTGCACATCTACATGACACCACCAACCATCTCCCAAAAGATGATTAGGCTGCTGAGTAAAATGTAGAAGGAGTTCAGGGAAGACGGGGCTTTTAGCATAAAAAAACGTCATTTTTCGACCCCCATTTGATCCTCTGGGGCAAAATCAAAATTCCGAAACCTTACTGCACATCACATCTACATGACACCCCCAACCATCTCCCAAAAGATGATTAAGCTACTGTGAAAAATGTAGGAGGAGTTCAGGGAAGAAAAGTGTGACAGACGTACGGACGGACGGACGGACATGAGTAACAACAATATATCCGAACTTTCTTTAGAAAGTGCGGGTATAATAAAATTCTACCGTCTTGTTACCAAACGGGACATCTCAAAATGCCAAAAATTAACGATTTTTCCTGTTTTTATAGAGTACTACAAAATATGAAATTATAATAAAAATAATGGAGATATTCTCAAATTTGTATGTTTTAAATTCTAAGAGGGTATGTTTATTACTTTTTCTTTAATGAAGGATAAGGAGATAACGAACAGTATTCAATATCAAAGTTCATAAAACAATACAAAAAAGGGCAGAGCAAACACAGACCCCCGAAACATCAGAGGTGGGATCAGGTGCCATGGAGGAGTGAGCATCTCCTGCCGACCGGTCACACTCGCCGTGCTATTTGTCATGATGAGGAAATAACGGAAAAAAATCCGTCGTCAATTCAATTCAGTGTATAAATAATGGACTAACAATTGGTATGAAAAACATCAGTCAGCATTTGAATAAATGGTAAATTGTATTTGCAAACAAGGTCATTGTATCGACCATAGAACTTACGAAATGATGACTTTAATCGAGACTGTTGATATTCTTGTTTCATCAACTTGCTTGTCAATAATTTACCTCGTTTTAGAAATTGTTCATACGTAGAGCATGCTCTTGCGTATCGAATCAACTGAGATATATATACTCCGTTTGCAGGTGATGAACTTCAAGCTATATTGCTGCATAAGTAAGGGAAGTTGACGATAGAAAAGTTAAAGTCATCACGTTTATCATACAGCTTAATTTTTGGATTACCATTAGTGCCTTTTTCAAGTATAATATCCAAGTATGAAACAGAAGTGTCGGACTCTGTGGTATCTTTTATCTCAAGCTCACCAGGATATATCGAATCGACATAGAAATGGAAAATACCATTATTAATAGCTAATACGTCGTCGATATATCTAAATGTCGAGTTGAAGGCCACAGCAAGTGTTTTCCTCTTTTCACGCATACGATTTTGCATAAAATCTGCTTCATATGAATATAAAAATAAGTCTGCTAATAACGGAACGCAATTTGTACCCATGGGTATTCCAATAGATTGTTGGATTTTCTGGTCAACTTAGGAGTACTTATTGTGTAATCAGAATCTATTTTAACAAAATAATTTTACAAATGACGAGGTAAGTAAATTTACGAGTTCCAATTTTATTGAAGAAGCAGCTGTCAATGATATCAAAAAGCCTGGATTTTAATTTGTCGTGGGGAATTGTTGTGTATAAAGTTGAAAAGTCATAAGTTTTTAAGCTGTTGATTTTTGTAAAGTCTTGTGATTTCAAATTGTCCAAAAGTTCTTTAGAATTTTTTAGTATCCACATCTGATTCACACCACTTCTTGAATATATAGTTGCACAGTACTCTTGAAGTTTTTCCTTCACTACTGTCAATATCTTAGTGAGGAGTAACGAAAGAGGCTTGGTTGAACATTTTCTGGAACCTGCAATGTATCTTTGTTTGTAAGGATTCTTATGAAGTTTCAGAAACCAATATATATGAGGTAGCTCAAATTCATTTTGGCTCTGTGGAATATTAAAAATATTCAAAACTGACAGGTGATTATGAAGAATTTCTTCCTTAGAAAGGGAATTATGAGTATAAGTAGGATTATCACTTGTAGAATTAAATCCAAGTTCTTCTAGAATGTAATTAATATAATGAGACTTACAAATGATACTTTTATTACCCCTTTAAAAGTCAATTATCATAACGTCAAAAACACACTGTAACGACATCAACCTACCTATGAATTGCAAAATCGGTTAAAAAATAAGTTATATAAAATTGTATTAATAAATATTTGTTAAATTTCATTGATAAAAAGAAAAATTTGCTTTAAAACAGTAAGTACGCTTCATTTTACTATGATGCGCGAAACATTGCGCAATGAAAACCACATTCGGCCCCCTTAAAATTTCTTTTCCTGAGTAATCTATACAGTTTTGGTTACAGTGTATATATCTGTATCTTAAGGATTTCAAATAACGATTCAAACAATTCAAATTTTGATGTTGTAAAGTGGTTATACTTGCAGATTTTTTGGATGTTTTTTCATATAAATTGTAAATATTTATCCAAGCGTCAAACTAAGTGCTCAAATTTTCGTGTCTGCTAAAACTTAACTTATTATCGCCATAATAAAATAATTAGTTTTCATTATTGATACACATTTATTTTAAAATCCTTTCATTCATCAGACAGAAAGTTCAGTCACGATTATATGCTGCCTTTAGATTACTCATCAATATTGTACATAGGTAATTTCCGAGTGAAGTTTACCTTTTGTATTTTTTAAGAATAACAATTTAATCATAAACTTTCTTAAATGTTAGACTTTTCCTATAGTCCAGTCCTTTGTCCAAAGAGCAAAGCTCGAATGACACTTAAAACTAAACAGAAAACTGCTTTTTATACCGTATAAATCTCTTGTAATTTGAAGGCTAAGACACCATGCCCCTTTAGAAATACAAAACATTTTAATATTTTTATTTTCAAATATGTTTTTGTAGCATTTGAAAAAAAAGTATGGAATTGAACCAACATACCTTGAGTTACCGATGAAAGAGGTGAACGGGTAGTGGTAGTTGTAGATTTGTCTTTCAGGGGATTAATTTTTCTTTTCCTAGCCATAGTTGAACCATATGATGTTTGAAAAGGGAAATTACCTAAATAGATAAAAAAATCAGTTAATCGTAAATTAAAAATTGAAATAACATACTGAATTTTCATACTTCAAATGTACTTTGGAATAAATCATGTTCACGAAGAACAATTCCTGGATTGCTTAAATTCTAAAGATTGTGAGATCGAAAATTGTGTATTCATCTATACTTAAACGAAAGGAAAAATAACTTTGTAGCCCTAGTTCATGACTTCGGCGAGGATGGTGATTCCTGGATTAGGACACCAAAGTTCCAGGAAAATTATGACCCCATGGAATCTCTTGATTCCTTATTATTACATTTACGTACCAAACAGACCCGGAACTTAAACTATCATTAATATTATTATTATCGCCATAATAAAATAATTTTTTTTCATTATTGATACACAATTATTATAAACTCATTTCACTCATCTGACAAAACGTTGAACTTCATTCATGAATTTATGCTGCCTTTAGATTACTCATAAACAATGTACACAGACAATTTCCGAGTGAAGTTTACCTTTTTTATTTTTTAAGAATAACAATTTAATCATAAACTTTCTTAAATGCTAGACTTCTCCTATAGTCCAGTCCTTTGTCCAAAGAGGAAAGTTCGAATAACACTAAACAACTCATTTAAAAATTTCTCTTTATACCGTATAAATCTCTTGAAAGGTAAGACACCATGTCCCCTTAGAAATGCGAAACATTTTAATCTTTTTATTTTCAAATATGTTTTGTTGTAGCATTTAAAAAAGTATGGGATTTAACAAATTTGCCTTGAGTTACCGATGAAAGAGGTGATCGGGTAGTGGTAGTTGTAGATTTGTAATTTGTGATGGCTGCATAATATGAGATGTGAGAAAGGTAATAAGCTAAATAGATAAAAAAAATTTAAGCTAATCGTAAGTTAGATTGAAATAACATACTGAATTTGCATACTACAAAATTTTTTTAATGTACCTTGGAATCAATCACTTTCACGAAGACAAATTTCGTGGATTGCTCAAATTATAAAGATTGTGGGATCGAAAATTGTGTATTCAACTTTACTTAAACAGAAGGAATTATAACTTTGTAGCTCTAGTTTATGAATTCGGCGAGGATGGTCATTTCTGGATTAGAAAACCAATGTTCCAGGAAAATTAGGACCCCAGGAAATTTCTTGATTCTTTATTATTACATTTACGTACCAAATCGACTCATTTGATTAAAAAGACTAGAATAACTCCCACTATATCGTAAACCAGATCCGCCATACATAGCTCCACCATTGCTGTATATCCGTGATGGTAATGTCAGCAAAGACTCTCCTGTTTGTGAAACAATACAGAATTTGTACAGCCAAATGTGTCAGTCATCTCCACACACATGAAATTAATTATTTGTATAATAGATGCATACATGTACATGACTTTATGTTAAGATTGTGAACTATAATAACATAGCCGAACTTCTAAAATATCACAGCACTATTTTCAGGAAAAAACTACTGTACATCAAGCATACACTTGATCAGCAGAATGCAATTACAAATATAATGTTTAACCTTTTTATGTACATGTATTTAAAATCAAATTATAGCGAGCGCAGCGAGAGTCCCAACGCTCGTAACTGCGAGCTCTAACGACAACGCCTGAGCGAAGAGAAAATTCGGACTACTGCACATTCATTCCATAAATTTTTTTTTCCGCAGTAATTTTGACCCACAATGCATCGCTTCGTACACAGACGCTAAAGCCACGTTCTCGCGAGAATAACGACAAAAGTTAAAAGAAAAATTAACTTGCCTTGATTTTATGAATTTATATGTTTATCACAGAAGAATTGTCATAAACTGATTGAAATCAGCCCTGTTCAGGCTTCGGTTTGGTAAAGCAACATGCAAACGACGTCATGTGACGTCAGAGTGTTATACGCACGGAATGTCACGTGGGTTTGACGAGTCCGATCTAAATGGAGACTGGATAAGTTCTGTGCTCGCCCTAACGGTCGCACCGTCAACATATTAGGTCTACTCGTGACTATACGGACCTGGTCAGGTATTGGTTGACCGAGGCCGAAGGCCGAGGTTAACGAATACCTGGGCAGGTCTGTATAATCACGAGTAGACTGAATTCAAAAGTTAATAACCGTTTTATGAAATGATCAGGAATTTTACAACACTTTTGACACTTTCGTTCTTGTCTCCATCAAATATAAACACTCATAATAAAATGCAAATTGTAACAACACTTTTCACATGATGTTATACTTCAACAGCTAGTAGTTAAAATGGAAAACAAAATTATTAAATAATCAATACTCAACCATTTACTTTCGAAAGCGTTTAATCTCCTTGTTACATGTACTGGCGTCTGACATGTTTATATTCACACCGACACATGCTTTGAAACACGTAATCTGATTGG